GAAGGGTTCTAACTTAGGAAGCCAACGCGGCACGCATCAAACTGTTGCAGATCTCTCAACACAACCGCTCATACGCTTTATCCCTATTGGAAAAGCTGCCGCGCAATTCCGGCGACGCCTTCACTGCGTTGCCAGGGTAAGGGACTCGAGTCGTTTCAACGAAGCTATGTGTGACTACCTACCAGACCACCCCAACCCAACCCGAAGACCCGAATTTCGGCTTGGGGGGGGTACGGGTTCCCTACGTGTTTTCTCGATGTTCCCCGACCCCCCCCCACTGGAAATGGAGGTCAATGTGAGGCCTTCGGGTTGGGTTGGGGTGGCTTGGTGGGTGGTGAATGTGGTGCAAGCTATGCGGTGCCGAACTATGTGGTGCAAACTGCGCGGTGCAAGCTGTGCAGTACACGGGCGGCCACGGCGCCGCCACGCAGCGGTCACGAGGCGGCCACGAGCCGGCTACGAGGCGGCGACGGGCGGCTTCGGAGCGACCACGGAGCGGCAGCCCAAGATATCCTCGGCGCAGCGAACAACATCTTCAAGCAGACCAGGACCCATAAGTGCAAGTTTTTTTGCGTGCTTGTTTGTCTATCTCTCTCTCTCTTTCTCTCTCTCTCTCTCTTTATCTATCTCTCTCTCTCTCTCTTTCTCTCCGACGCGGGCGGCGCACCTCCTCCTCCTCCTTTTTTTCCTCCTCCTCTTCCTCCTCCTCCTCGCTCCTCCTCCTCCTGATCCTCTGCTCCGCCGCGGGCGGCGCACCAAGGCGAGTGCGCCCGGGGGAGCCCGCGGAAAAAAAACGCGATCGCCGCGCGGCAGCCGCCGCCGCGGCGCGCTGCCGAGGGCCCTGCCCCCCTCGTCGAGGGGGGGGACCGTGCGCGCTCCCGCGAGGGAGCCCGCGCGTGGCAGGCCAGGAGGCTCCTCCTCCTCCCCCTCCCCCTCCTCCTCCTCCTCCTTCTCCTCCTCCTCCTCGGCGGTCTTGGGGCGGTCTCGCGGGCGTCTCCAGCCGTCTTGGAGCGTTGGAAGCTCGAGATCGCGAGAAAGCGGAAAACATAAACAACAGGAAATCAAAGAGTTGGGCCTCTTCGGGCTCTCTCGGGACGTTTCTCGGAGCTCTGTCTGGGCCTCTTGGAGGCCTCTTGGGCTGTGTTTGTCGTATTGAACTCATATTGGGCCACGTTGGGGCTATTTGGGCCGTCCTGGACGCCTTGGGGCTTCCCGCTCCCGCTCTGGGGCTCATTTCGTACCTCTCCTGGGATTTTCTTGGGCAATCTCGGGCTGTTCTTGGGTAGTCTTCAGGCTCTCCGGGGCCGTCGGGAAAGCGGAAAACATGGAAAAACTACGGAAAACCAAGGATTTGGGTCTCTTCAGGCTCTGTCGGGGCCTCTTGGAGGCCTCTTGGACTGTGTATTTGGCGTGTTGGGCCCATCCGGGGCCACGTCGGGATCATCTGGGCCGTCCTGGAGCGCCTTGGGGCCTCCCGCTCCCGCTCTGGGGCCCAGCTTGGGCCTGTCCTAGGGTTCTCTTGGGTCGTCTGGGGTTCCTCCTGGGCAATTGTCGGGTTACCTGGGGCCGTCTTGGGTGTTTTTTAGAGAGCCTCTTCGGCGGTTTGGGGGCGGTCTTGGGGGCGTCGTCGGCCGTCTTGGAGCGTCGGAAGCTCGACAGCGCAAGAAACCCAAACACGTCGAAAAAACAATTGAAAACCACCGGTTTGGGGCCCTTCGGGCTCTCGGGACGCCTCTCGGAACTCTCCTGAGACCTCTTGGAGGCCTCGTGCTGTGTATTTGCCGTTGCGAGTCCATCTTGGGCCACGTTGGGGCAATCTGGGCTGTTTTGGAAGGGTTTGGCGAAGTCCCCCGGGGGCTTCTGGGAGCGTTTTGGGGTTCTCTGGGGCAGTCTGGGAGCTCCAGGGCCGCTCTGGGGTGCTCTGGAACGGTTTGGGAAACTCCGGTCCTCACATGCCCTCCCATATATATATATATATATATATATAATATATATATATATATATATATATGCTCCTCCTCCTCCTCCTCCTCCTCCTCCTCCTCCTCCTCATCATCATCATCATCAGCACCAGCCCTTCTATCGCCGCTTCACCAGAGGGTGATCTAAAGGGATATCACACGATCTGCGACTCACCTCGCCGATTCGCCTCATCCAACCCCTCGACGCTGGCACGGCAGGGCCACCCTGAACCCCCAGGAACCTCCACGAGCCCCCCGACGGCCCCCAGACTACTGATTTTCGGACACCCCAAGGCCATCGCGACAAACGGAGGGCCACCAAAAAAGCGGGGCGGAGAGGGGGCAGGAGTGCAAAACCACCAAGCCAGGCCGCCCAAGCACGGCCGAGGCCGCGGCCTCCACCAGTCCGCGCCCCCGCCATGCCCACCATGGGCTCGCGGGGCGCCGCGGACAGAAAGAAATCAGAAAAAGCGGAGGCGATGGGATGCGAGTGGGCGAGGGGGGTGGAGGGCAGCAGGGAGACCGGGGAGGGCCCTTCCACGTTGCAGTATCTGCTCTGCCGCTGAGGAAACAACGTCCGAAGACAACCAACTCGCAAGTTGATTAACTCGTGCCACTCGCTGGCTTTCGAATTGAAGCTCTGTCGAGACCTGCTCGCCTTCCTGGGCGCGAATCCTGGCCGTGGGGCTGTCCAGTCACTTGCCATTCAGAAAGGCATGTGGCTGGACAGCTTTTCTGGCATTTCTCGTCTGGCGGAAAACTCTGCGGCCCCGCCCCCTCAGAGGCTGTAGGGTTCAAGCCCGACGCGGTGGCGCTGAAGGGCCTCGACCAGGAGCTCGAATCTCGCGCGAAACTCATGGGTGCACGAAATCGGGGTCAGCCTGGGAGCTGGCGCTCTGGCCGGGAGAAACTGCGCCATGCGAGCGACCGACGGGTCATCGATCGCGACTGACTCGCGACTGTGAAACCTGAGGCCGCTTTGAGACGCAAACATGAGCAACATCGAACGGCCTGGCGCCCAATCGATCGCGACCTGTCAGCGCCTCAAGGCCCGCATCTCGGTCGTCCCGAGGAGGCCCGCGAACCCCGACGCCACCGCGATGATGCTCCCAGCGTGCAACAGAGAACAAGCACTGAGAGGAATAAGCCGTAGCACTCTGGCGCGCCACGAATGTCTCGTGCTGCGCTAGCGCATGATCTAATCCTCCAGGGGTGCCTCCCAGAGTCCGACTGGCGCCCCGCCCGTCAGCCGCCGCGAAGCGGCGCCGATGTCTACCCGGCATCGCGCTTCAACTTGGAGACGTCCGCGCCCGCGCGCGACGGGTTCTCCGCGCGGTCGCGGCCAGCCCCCTCGCAGCCATGCGTTCGGCGAGCGAGAGCAGCAATACAGAGGGCACCAACGCGACGAACAACAGCATGCATACCGAGGAAAGCTGAGCGCCCTCTTGAGCGCCCGCTTATAATAACACCAAGCCTTGCCAGCTGCCAGGAGTCCATCCACTTGCAAATCAAGTGCGCGGATGCTGTGATGATCTGAAGCGCCATCTCAACTCTGGCAGCGCAGCGCGCACGTCCACGTCGGCGATGTGCGACGGCCTCTCCCACGGCCATTTCACCCTCGCCTTCCATGGCCAGCGTTCAGCGCTGATGGGGCGCCGAGGCAAGAGGTCAGACAGCATGCCCTCGATCGCGCCGAGCCGTGCGTCGCTGCCTCGGCACTCCGCGCGCCGCGCCATCTTCTCGATGATGATCGCGGACGGGTCCAACTGGACCTCCGAAGACTCGAGGTCGCGCCGGCGGAAAACGGCGCCGCCGCTGACCCCCGACACCTCCGCGCTGGCGTCGGCGATGGCGTCGCCGCCCCCCGTGGCCCTCATCTCGCTCGAGGGCGGGGCGGCGTCGTGGCAGCCAACCTTCGCCAACCTAGTGGGGCACAAACCAGCCGACCACTGCGCGCTGGACGCTGTTGCCAAGGAGAGCGAAACGACGCTGTTCGACGATGGCCTGCCCGCACTTCCTGGCCCGGTCGATCTTGCTGCGAAGGCGTGGCCTGGAAGGAAGTCCAACGGCGGCCCCCTTTCCAGCGCTGGACGCGGGGCGGAAGACGCCGTCTGGCTGTCGAAAGCAGCCGGCGCCCGTGAACTGGCTGGGCGCGCAGCACTAGTCGCGGTCACTCGAGCGCCGTAGCCCCGCAGGCGCACGCCTCGCTACACTTTTCGGGAATTGTCCTGGAGCGCGCCTCGGGATGCATCTCTCAGGAAGGCGGGCGTGCGAAACTCCGAGCACTCGCCCCCGTGCCAGGCCAGGTTCTCAGCCATCCACCGCGAAACAATCCCAGGGCCTCCTGGGACCAAGACCAGCTTCACTCCGCCCAGCTCCGGAACGCCGCCGTTCCAGTCGGTCAAGATCAAGAAGCACTCGTCAATCCAGCAGAGGCGATCCCGATGGCATTGCGCGATGTCTCCCGAGCTGGTGCGCACCCGGGAAAAGCCGACGTGCTCGGACATCTGTCGGCGCGGCCCCAGGTCCACGGGGGCCACTTTCTCTATCGGCACAACCACCCAGTCCCCGAGCACGTCCATTTTGGACGCCCGAAATGGGTACGGAAAGAATGGGTACAATGCCCAACAACAGATGTTGTCCCAAACCAACAGCGGCCGCTGTTGGGCGGGCGGCCTTCTGTCTCGAATGGGCACAGGCCGCGGCGGCGCGGACAGCGGATCCTGTTCAAAATGGACAGGAATTGCTGCTGGGCATTGCACCGCTTCTTCCCGTACCCATTTCGGGCGCCCAGATCCATCAGCGCGCTCTTCGCCCCACCTGTCTCGAAGAAGAGGCGCGAGCGAGAACCTGCCAGTCCTGCGCGCTTGACGCGAGCGAAATCTGCGCGGGGGCCCCCAGCGGTCCGGAGGATCAATTTGAGACGCGGCGCCCGCTCCCTGATGGCGGCGCCCCCGCGTCGCCGAAGTCGCGGACGTCTCCTATCCCCAAGACCTCAAGCCAAGCATGCGCGGTGACCCCTGTGGCCTCCTCGTCCGTCTACGAGGACACGAACGACGCCGGCGCCAAGCCACGGCGGTCGAAGGCGCGCCTGGGCCGTCCGATGCCGTCGACGACCGACGCCAACGCGACCTCGTCGCGGAAACCGGAGACCACGCCGCCGCTCCAGCCGCGGCCGCCCCGTCGGGCAGCGGGCGGGCACCGCGGCGCGCGGCGCCCTGCTGAACGCTGGCGCGCGCGTCGGCGATGAGCACGCTGACGGGTGCCCCCAGGTCGCAGTGCAGGATCGGAAGGAATGCCAGGACCAGCAGCAGCTCCGCGCGGACGGTGGCAGGCATGGGGGCCTGGCCTCGCAGCCTCACGGCGACACTCCACAGGGGGGCGAAGCGCGTCATCGCCCCCCTCCGGAACAGCAGACGGCGCGCCCAACCCCCGGCCAAGACCTGCATCCACTTCCGGGCGCCCGTCGGGCGCCTGAAAGAGGCGGGGGTGAAAGAAGCGAGGCGCAGCGCGAATTCGGCGCGCGGCCCGATGGCGCGGATCACTGCCTTCTCCTCGCTACGAAAGGCTCCCGCCTCCGTGCCGCGAGCGCGGGCATGGTTCGCGGCCTCGCTGGGCCCGTCGCTCTTGAGCTGCGCGGCCTCCCACCAGCCGGCGATCTCCAGCGCGTCCAAGTTTTCGATGTGCACTTGCCAGACCCGCCTGCCTGCGGGCACCTTCTGGGTCTCGCGCCAATTCCTGATCGGGACGTCGTCGCGTCGCTCCTGATGTTCGCCGCAGTGACGCAGCAGCCTTGCATAGTTCAGGCGCCCGAGCTCGTTCACGAAAGATTCTGCTCCTCGAGGTAGCGCTCGGAATCCCCGATGACCGCGCGGCGAGGGCGCCCCCCCATGACGCGCACGGGGTTTCTCCTCTTTGAGGGGGGCAGAAGTCGGCGGGCGCAGCCGCGCCCGGCGTGGGTGGCCGGCAGACCGTCGTCGCGGGCGCCGCCGAGGCGGCCTCGAACAAGTTCGCCTCCTGCTTTCGCCCAGCGCGGCGGGCTGAAGTTCGAGGGGGGCGCGCCCTTCCTGATCTCCCCGCGGGCGGCCGGCTGCTAATGCCGAAGGCGCCAGACTCGAAACAGTCGACGATGAATGCATGGGCCACGCTCGCCGCGATGACCCAGCCCATTAGCGCCACCGCCACTGCAGCGCACGCCGGCCCAGGCCCTGACAAGCCCCCCGCGGCGCAGCTCACGGGCTTTGCAATGCCCGCGCAGGGCAGCCAGGCGTCGTCGAGGGCGTAGACGTAGAAACAACACTTGAGGTCCTCCGAGCTCCACGGCAGGACCTCCCCGGACCGCGCGACGATGGCCTTCCACTTGCCGCTGTGCGGCAGGGCGGGGGTGGATGATTGCGTCGCCCAGAGCAGAGGCCCCTTGCCCTCCTGGTGGCCACCCTTGCGCGCCCCGAGCGTGCCCCGCAAGATCTCGCGGCCGCCCGCCGCGGCAATTTCGTCGTTCTCGACGGGGTTCAAGATGTCCTGCTCATCGTCCGAGGCCCAGACCTTCGGGGCAAGCGGAAGCCCCAAAATCGCCCGATTGAGACACACCTCGCGGCGAAACCAACCATCCGCGATCTCGGAGGCACGCGCGGCGGCGCCTGCCTCGATCGGCGGCGGAGCGGGCTCGAGGCGCGCGAAGTCGAGGGCTCGCCTGGGCGTCGGGGTAGTTCCCCTCGCCGTCGTGGGCGGCGGCGGCGTCGGTGAGTTTCTCGCCCCAGCCAATCTCGAGGATGGCGCGCCCTCGCACTCCTCGCGGAAGACGCGCGCCTCGTAGTGCAGTTTGCCGAGCGCGAGGCGCCGCGTGACCGACGGGCGCGCGGCCGGCGCCCGTCTCCAGTGCAGGGCGCAATGGTAGCTGAGACTCTCGATCGCCATGTTGACCCAATCGAGCTCTTCGCAGGCTGCAACTCGCCCTCTGCCCGCGGGCGCCCTCCGCAGGCCGAGGCGGGGGCAGCGCGCGGTCGGAAGCGGCGGCACTTAAATCTCGAAGTTGGCCCCGACAGCCCATGGGCGAGCACGGCCGTCTCGAAGTAGCCCGCAGCGCCATCCGCAGGAACGTCGCCACGTAACTGGCGGGCAAACTGTTCACATCGAAGAAGGACAAGCAGGTGCCCGCCGAGGCTCTCGGGCGCGTGGCCCATCGGGCACCTTCATTAAGGCCGAAACAGAATTCGAGGCGCCAGACGCGGCGTCGCGCCTCGCGTCGGCACTGGCGTCGCGCACCGTTGGCTCAGAGGCACGAGATGCTCTGTGAGCCCACAATAGGATCGGCCGCAGAAAGGCGGGGTCGGCCCCGAGAAAAGTCAGAGGTGCAGCGCGGTGCCATTTCGGGTCGGGCACTGCGTTTTGCGCGTCAGATCGCGCATCAGCCACGCGAGCTCCTCCACCAGCGCAGCCGCGACGAACGGCGGGGCGAAAGGCTGGCTGCGGCCATGCTGGCCTTTGGCCTGCGCCCTCTCTCCCTTGGCACGGGGGCGCGATTGGCCCATCCCGTTCTTGTCATGCTTCTGCTTGCCGCCTTGCGTGCACGTTTTCCCAGGTTGCCTGATCGGCGGATGGGGCCGCCGCCGCGGAAGGTCACCCTCCGCCGCGGCTGCCTGTCGGCTGTAGCGGCTCCTCCTGGTTGGCGAAGCATCGGGCGCCGACCGGCCCTGGGCCCGCGCCCCCGCGGGGCGGCGGGTCAGCGCCCAGGGCCGCCGAGGGCTGCGGCGCCTCCGCGCGTGGACGGGAGGGCCGCGCGAGGACGGGGCGACCTCGGCGCCGCGCCCGCCGACGCTTTAGCCATCGGCGCGGGCTGGGGAGGCGCCGTAGCTGGGGCCCGAGCAGGGGGGGGGGCTCGCGCCACGGCCGGGGCCGCCTTGGCCTGCGCCCGCTCGTCGCCGCGCAAGCCCCCGGCCCGCGCCGCCGCCCCCGCGGGCCTTGGCAACGCTCTCCTGCAGGCCCGGAGCTCGCATCGCTTGCTCACCGCGCCCTGCAGCTCCGCAGGCTGAGCGGAACTGCCGGGGCCACCTGCCAGCGCCGACGGCCCGCATCCGTTGCGTCACGAGGTCACCGAGGTGGGCGCGCCCAGGCGCTCCCCCGCCGTCCTGGGCCCCCGCGCGCACCTGGCCCCCATCTCGCCCGTCGACCCGGTCGAGCCTCGAGCCAGAGAGCACGTCTGTGGCCCGAGCTGCGAGCGCCCCTCCGGCAGAGCGCTCGCGGGCCAAGCGAGCCTTGACTTCCTTCGCATTCTTGCGCAAATCGGCTCGAGGCGCGATCACCGTCGGCTGCTCCGCCGTCGACAGCTCGAGCGCCTCCGCCTCCGTCGGCGCCGCGCCCTGGGGCAGGTCCCGCGCCCGCTGCGGCTCCGTCGTCGTCGACGCCGAGGAGGGCGGGCGCCGCTCCACCAAGGCCAGAAGACTGCAACCACGGCTCCACGAGCCCTCGCGCGCCACGCCTCCAATAGGTCTCGGCGTGGGAAACGGCCGTCTGCATCCACGGGTTCGCACGTGCGCACTGCGAGGGCTGCTGCGCGCCAAGGTGGAGTGCCGCGCGACCGACTGCGCCGAAACTGCCCATCAGCGTGGGAGCGTACTGCAGCGCGCTCGCCCCAGGGAGGTTCGCCCCCGAGAAGTGCCCCGTCGCGTCGGGTTGCCAAGAGCCCTGCACCTGGAAGACCGCAGCGCCCGTGGCCGAACCACCACCTCCGACCAGGAGCACGCCCTCCACCAGCGAGCCAGGCGCCAACCCCTGCGCTGGAGGGCGGCGGGGTTCGAGGGCCCGTGAACCCACGGCCCAGCGGCGCCAGGCGGGGCGGCGGGGTCGAACCGAGGCGCGACAGGAAACCAAGCTGCGACGCCGCCTCCAGGCACCCAGCCTCCCAGGCCGCCAGCGGGGGCGCCTCCCGCGGGCGCGCCAGGCGCGGCGGCGGGCCAGCCTGCGAAGCCGCCGAAGCCTCCAGCCCCCGGCCCAGCTGCGTCCGCGGCCGCCGCAGGCCCCCCTGGACCCGTCGCGGCGCCGCGCCCGCCACAGAAGGGGGGCGGGATCACGTCGCCGAGCCCGCCGCCGCCGCCGCGCAGCACCACGGGAGGCGCGCCAGCCGCCGCGAGGGGCGGCGCCACGGCCGCAGGCAGGGGCCGCCGCCGCAGGTCCTGGTGGCGCGGGGGGCCGCGACGGGCGCTCCAGCTGCAACGGCGGCGCCACCGAACGCGGAGGGCAGCGCACCTCCAGGCGCCCTGGCACCGCCGGGCACCGCTGCCCGCGGCGCCTCGCCCCTCCACCAATGGGCGGGGCCGCCTTCTCCTTGGCCTTCGCCTTGCCGCGGCCGCCGCCAGCACCGCCCGCCGCGGCCTCAGCGCCCGCCAGCTCCAGCCGCAGGCGAGACCAGGCCGCGGGCCACCCGCGCGCGCGCGAAACGCGCTTCGCGCGGGGCTGCCGAGGGCGCCGCACGCCACTCGGCCAGTCTCGCGTCGCTCTCGACGGGGTTACTCGCCAGAGTTCTTGAAATAGTCGATGACAAAGAAATCAACTCCAAACAAACGAATGTCGGAAATGAGAGCGACTCTTTTCCTCGTGGCTAGCGCCAGGGGCTGGTTCACCAACCGAATCGAACTACAGTTCGATATGGTAACCGCGCACAGAAAGCTCGAACACTAAACAGAAGTACGGAAAACGGGTCTCCGGCAAGCCTTCCAGGCAACTTCCGAAATCTCGCTCCGAAGCCCGATTTCTACGACACGGGGGGCATAGTGCTCCCCTCAGCGCATCGAAAACACTTCTTAACCAAAGACTAGGCGACAAGGGAAGCGGCAAAAAAGGAATGCTCACCTCGACTCACGTTCATCATCCTCTTGATCTCTCCCTGTTCCTCTGAAAAGTTGCCCTCGGCATCTGAATCACGAAAGTCTGGAACCACCGGGGGCCTCTCCGAACTCTCGAGAAGATCTAGGGTGTCCTTCTTGAGGATGCGCCTCTTCTTGGCTGAGGTGAAGCTCGGATCCTGCACCAAGGCCCACTGCTGCTTGACGTGGAAGTTGGGCGTGACCTGCAGGGCTGGACTCTCCATCTTAGTCAGGCCGTCGGCAATCATTGCCTCAGAATGCACCCAGCGCAGCGTAGTGTCGGCGGCCTTCATGCTCTGTGCCAGCGCTAGTGCCTCGATCGCCGACCTCTGGTCGTTGCATCCGTAGCCCGAAGAACACGTCCGAGCCACGCTGTCGTACATCGCCTTGCAGTCCGCCACCAGGGTACCGTCCACGAGCTTCGGGTTGTCGTTGATCTGGTGATAGGTGGTCGCCTTCCCGGTCGGCATCTCGTACCAAACCAGTCTCGCGTACTTCTGAGCCTCGTTCGCCATTGTGCCCATCTGGATCTCGGAGCTCAGAGAACGTCGGGTCACCCGGGGTAGTTTGCGAGAAGCACCTTGAATAACTGAGACGGCCGTCTTGTGGCCATCCAAGATCTTGCGCTCAGCCATTGCCACGACCATGCCTCCTTGAGAACCTCCAGCTTTGCGAACTTTCCAGGCTGCATCGTGCCAGATGTCAAACATCGGGTCCTCCATGGGTGTGAACTTGATGTTGATCCAAACGGTCTCGTGAGCTGTGTGAATGAGCTTGTTGATCGTCTGGATGGTGGCCATGGTTCCGGTAGGAACTCCACCACCTAGGATACTCGTCTCTCCAGCTAGCCACGCCATCCCTTGCGATGCCAGAAACATGGTGCTGCCCAATGCTCCTCGGCACTTGGTCTTGAGTCGGTCGCTCAGCCCTGTGTCATCCTTCAGTTTGGCCTCATCCTTGCTCACCTCGATGTACTCCACCTTCTGGACTGCTTTGGCCAAGCTCTGGATGATGCTGTAGTCTGCCAGCTGGACGTACTCAGAGCCACACTGATTGATGAAGCCTGTCCCCCAGGATCCCCAACTGCACAGCTTCTGCAACTCCACCGTGCTCTTCTGGCCCAACTCGGACCTCGGAATCCCGATCGCGAAGTCGTCCACGTGCACGACGATGACCGTCTCGATGTTCCCCTGCTCGTTGTACTTGATCCATAGACAGGGTTCCAGCGTCATAGCCACATACCCCAACTTCTTCAGGTCGCCTGCCACTTTCTCGCATCACGCCCGGGGGGCGTTCACCAACCCGTAGGCGGCCTTCAGCACCTTCACGCACTCATCGTCCGCCAGCTGTAGAGCTTCTCGTAGTTCCGGTACTGGCGCCACAAGTAGATCGTGTTTCGCTTGAGTAGCATCTCCCTGCAGAAATGCAGCCTTGACGTCGCCCTCGTAGATCCTGAGCTTGTTATTCGCCATGCGCTGTAAAGCCAGATTCCGCCCTCGGGATGAGATCGCGGGGCTCGCCTTCTCGATGGTCGCCAGTCGGGGATCTTGAGAACCAAGTAGGATGAGACGTGCCTGCACCTTCCCTTCGCCCTTCATGATGAGGTGCCACCGCATCTTCATTGGTTTGCCCCCTTGCTTCTTCAGAGCAGCCTGGCACACCTCGTTGTGCACCCTGTTGTTGACCTCCGCCAACTTCGCCTGCGCCACCATCGACTTCACCTCTGGAGTCTCCTTTCGCATGTTGATATCCACCTGACCTTTCTTAACTGCCTTCTTCAGTACTTGCATGGGCCTCTCGCTGAGTGCTGCCAGAACATCTCCTTCGAGCACCACCTCCATCATGTACACTTCTTCGTCCCCCTCCAAGGTTGCGAAGATGTCGGGCACTGCGAACTCCTCCTCTGTCCTCGCCTTCTTCTCTGGCGGTACTTCCGGGGGGTCGGCTGGGCGCCCCCGATCCCTGAGGTTGATGCGGATGGAGAACGGCACGTCATTCAGCAGGGGGTTCTCCTTGACATTGTAATTGTCCGGCGCTGCTCGCTGCGCTGGTTCAGGTGGTCCTTCCGGTACTACAGGTGGTTGTGCAGGTGGTTGTTCTGGTATGGGTGAGTCTGGAATCGGCACTTCTGACGCTGTCCTGGAGCGAGGAGCCATTTCTTGCTCAGGTTCAGTTTCGCGAGCTCCTTCGCTCCCTGGCCCTTCCTCCGCAAGTAGTTGCTCTTCGTCTCCATGTCCCTGAGGCTCCATCTCCGCATCTGCAGGTTCTCCTGGTTCTGATGCAGCAGGTTCTGGGCTCCTCTGGTTCATGGGCTTGGAACTCGCCGTTCATCTCGGTCGTGGTCGACTCCATCGGGTGGTCGCTGTTGGCTCAGATCCGAGTATCTCGCCCCCACGTCCAGAGTCTCCATCACAGGCTGTCTTTCCAGGGGCTTGGACTTCTGAAGAATCGCGTAGAGGGACTTCTCCTGCACTGATGCTGGTCGTAGCTGCTGAGGTGTGCTGAGGACGAGCTGGTTGTTGTAGTTGATCAGGGCAAGGTTCCGGGGGGTCGCCTCTCCCTTCTCGTGCCTGTAGAACTGGTTCACGACCCATGCTGGACCGTGGAACTCACCCTTCGACTTCTTTACCTTGTCTCTCCGGCTGCCCGGCTTGGCCAAGAAGAACACGAACTCGCCCGTTTCCCAAGTTGAGAACTTCCTGGTTCGGGAGACTGCAGCCAGTCGAGCTTGGCGATCGGCTAGAGCTTCGGTGAATGCTTTTCGAGCCTGCATCCTCCTCTTCATCATGACCTCCGCGCTGGTGCCCTTGGTGCTCCCCGCCTGCAGCTGAACTACTGCCCCTGTCAGTTGTGAGTCGAGAGGTCGCAGCTGTCGGCCAAAGAGAACTTGATCGGGTGAAGCGTCTGTCAATCTTAACATCTCCGCATGAGATGCGGCGCACCAGCTGAAAACTTCCCGGATCGGGCACTCGGGGTCTGCTATGGCCGTTCTCGTCGCTGCCACCTTGAGTAGGTTGATAGTCACCTCCACTCGTCCATGCTTCCAGTGAGCCTCGGCTGGGCAACATTTCCAGTGTTTCCGCGACTTGAAGCCCATTCGCGCAGCCGTTTGGATCGATATGCTTCAGCAAGGTCAGTGCGAATCTGAAGTGGTATTCCGAAGTACCTGGCCCAATCATTGACGAATGTCTCCCAGACGACAACTGCCGACGTCTCTCCCGTGTTCCCGTTGTTGGGGGCCGTATAGTGGATGACTGGTACCGACTTGGCAGATCCCTCGTCAGTGCGCCCCTCGCACGGACCTCAGTCACAGGATGATCCAATCAGAGCCATCCATCTGCAGAACATCGAGAGGTTCGGCTTCGATTCCCGCGGCCACTGGCATGGGGTGACGGCGGGTGGTAGCCTCACAAATACTGCACTTCAACTTCCCGGCGAGCGCGATCACCCAGGGCTGCGCGCCCTTGCAAGTCAAGTGGGCCCTCATGGCGTTGACGCCCATGCGATTCATCTTGGTGTGGATGCTCATCAGTTCCTTCTGTACCAGGTTTATCACTTTTGGGTCCACCTTGTCCAACTCCTCCTTTTCGATCTCTGAGTCCTCCATCTCGGTGACCTTCGCCTGTGCGAACGCCGTCTGAAGCTCGAACGAGTTGAAGTTATCCTCCCCCATGATCGTAGCAGCCCACTTGCGGCGCATGTTGAGGGGGTACCTGGCCGTCTCGCCTACGTTGACCTGGCCTGTCTCGACGATGGCGTGGTCGTGATCGCGCGTGCACCTCCTCCTGAGTCGGTCTGCCAGCACCTGGTTCGTGGTCGCGATGCGCCAGCCCTTCCTGATGAGTTCTCCTGCGACCTTGCTCTTTATTCCCCAGCCGCACCCATAGCTGATGGACTCGTAGAACTGCCTCATACGTTGAACAACTCCGGAATGCTCCATGAGCTGGCGGTGAGAGGGTGCTCGATGGAGATCTCGGTGCCGAACTGCCTCCACGCGTAGAGTAGAACCTCCAGCACGTTCCTCATGACTCGACGTCCCCACTTTCTCAGCTTCATCAGCTTCTCTTGGGATTCGACGGTGTTGGGCCTGCCGTTCTGCAGTGCTGAGAATGGAGTGCATGGAGGTGAAGCATGCGCCCATAGAGGTCATTCTTGACGGATGTGCTCCGTCGCTTGTCGACAGATGACTTGCGGCTGAAGTCGAACAAATTGAACAAGCCCATGCGGGTCACCTTGCCTCCCATAGCTCCCACTTGAACTCCCAGCGTGCTGTCCGGTGGGATGCATATCTCGAGCAGGTCCGTCCTGTACTTGCTCGTCATCTGGTTGAGCTCCCTGGTGCCCTTCTTGTCGATCTGCGAAGCGGCCAGTAGTGCTTTCTGACGAACTCGTTGGGGGAGCTGTCCTACCACTCGTAGCTTATCTCCCGCCAGGCCCAGTGGCCCAAATGTCGACCAAAACCCGTGGGTGGGCTGAACTTCTTTGGGCACCCATCCTTGCTGTACTTCATGAGCTGACCGTGAGCATGCCAACGACGTCGAGCTTGAATCCTCATCACCAGTCGCTGCCATCGGTTGAGGCCGGCCTGTCCTGTACGGTGCTTCTCCGGGTCCCTCCCGGGCTCCTGATGGCTGGCCTTCTTGTTGTTGATCTTCTGGGTGTTCGAGCCGCTGAGGTCCACCTTCCCGTTGCTGGGGAGCTTCTTGCTGAAGCTGGTCGTCTTCGGAATCTCCGTAGCCGGTCCCTTGGATGTCGGTGACGTTGACGGTGTCGGCAGGTGCTCCTTCGAATTGTTGTTCTCGCTGGTCCTCTTCTTGGTGCGCGCCACGCTCGGTATCTCCCGGGTCTCGGCGTCGATCTGGAGACCCTGGCCATTGTCCTTGATTAATGCGCTCTCCACCTCGGCGAGCAGGCCATACCACTCCTTCGTGATGTTGCCAGCCATGACTCGTCGCGCTGCTTCCGCTAACGTTCTGTCCCGAGCTGCTTGTCGTGGCGCTGCCTCCCGCTGCTCCTCGATCGCGCCCGGGTCGGTCACTGCGCACAGCTCCGTGGCCCGGCACTTCAGATCCTCGAAGAACGTCTCCGGATCCATGTCCACAGCTGCAGCTGCAGCAGCTGGCTGCGACGGCTGCCCGATGAGCGCGAGTCCGCGTCGGGCGGGCGACTGCCGCCCGCCGCATCACATTCCTCGAGCTCCTCGTCCGAGATCTCGTTGACGCCCGCTGGCTCCCATGGCCCCTGCGGACTGCTCATTGCGAAAGCTCCTCCCGGAGCGCACGCATGACGCCAATGGCTCTGGAGGCGGGGGGTGGGGCGTCGAAGAATGGCGCACCTGATCTTCGAAACGAACCGCAAACACACCCGAGACTTCCGATGCCGCAGTCTTCCCAGAAATGCCAAGACCACATCCGGATTCCGTTTCGCGTTCCCGAAGATGATGGTCATAGACTCTATCAAGTACTGGCGGATGGTGATGTTCATGGCATGCTCTATCTCGTCCATGGGGATGCTGGTGTTCATGACATGACCTATCGAGTCCATGATGATGCTGGCGTTCATGACATACCCTATCTAGTTCACCCGATTCGAATAGTTAGCTTTTTATATTTCTGTAGTTTGTGCCTCTTTTTTTTTCTGAGAATTGCAGTGGTCCTTGAATTAGGGGGCGAGGCCTTCGTGTTTACCGAACTTCTGAAATTCCGAGAAGGGCTCTTGGATCTTTCGGGCTCCATGGGATCTGGAACCCCCTGACAACTTCTGTTAGTTCCCAATCGCCAGGCGTTGTCGCAACCAACGGCTGGGCCCCGCCAAAGCACGGGGAGAGCGTAGTGCGAGCTAGACAGCTGCACCACTGGTTCCTCGTGGCCGTCAGCGAAGACCAGGGCGGACCTCTCCTTGATCAAATCCGCTCCAGCCTTCTCCAGGTAGTCCAGACCCAGAAGCATCGGGGACTTCGTCTCGACCAGGTCGAACCGCAGCTTGTTGTCGTCTTCGACCAGCGCCACTGGATGCTCGAAGCCGAACTTGCCGATGGACTGGCCCTTCTCGCCGCCCGCGTATGTGAACTCCGTTTTCTTCGCGTAGTCCATGGTGACCTGGCCCTCGCCCGTCTCCTCGATGATGGCGTCCTGGATGGCTGCGGCCAGGTCGATCCCGATCATGCTCTTCGAAGCTCCCGTGTCGATGATCCCGTAGCCAACCATCTCCTCGTGTACCCAGCCAGCTTGACCCTCCTCAGGAGCGTTGCCCTCATTGCCGTAGTTGTTCTCGTCGTCGTCCTCGGCGTCCACGAAGCCCTGGGCGGCCATCTGCACGTTGTTGCCGTCGTTGCCCGCGTTGCCTCGCTTGGGACAGTCCACGGCGCGATGAGGTCCCTGGCAGATCAGGCACTTGATGCCCTTGCCCTTACCCTTGGGGGGGTCTCCTCTGAGCTGGATGTGGAGCTGGTGCTGCTGTACTGCTCGTCGTTATCCTCCTTGTGGTGCTGGTGGTCGTGGAGCCCTGAGCGCCGCCTTCGCCGTGTTGATCGTCTTCTGATCCCTGAACTGCTTCTCCGGGATCTGGCCGATCCCGATCACTGGAAAGTAGCCGCTCCTGTTCTTCGCAGCCTCCGCCAGCAGCCTCTTCGCCTCTGTGAAGGTCCGGTGGGCGTCCTGCGCGTGCACCTCCGCGTCCTCGGCGTAGGCCTCCAGCGCCTCGAAGTCCTCCTTGTCGACCTCCTGCTCCTCGTAGTGGATGTCCGCCTCGTCTACCTCGTCGGCTTCCTCCTCGAAGTAGCTTGGCTTTTCCTCCACGTCGTCTTCCTGGTAATGACCCTGTACCGCTCCTGGCGTGGATCTCGACCTCCTGGAAACCGTAATTCACGACGTCGCGACACCAGGTTGTCCCTCGCTAGCAGGTCCTTGTCGGCCCATACATACTTCAACTTCTCGATGACTGATTCAATCTTCCAGTCGTGTAGTCCTGCCACCACCGTGGCCCGCTCGCTTGGGTCCAAATTCGCATTCACCAAGAAGATGATGCCACGCAGCTCGTCTGGGATGAGATCCAAAGCCTCCAAGTCCGGGCAGATCGCCCGCACGCTCTTTTCCATCTCCTGGTAGGCGTCCTCCTCCTGCTCCGCGTAGAGTCCGATCGTCTGGCCAAGCCCCCTCACGCGTGGTCCTGCCGTCTTCCGGTCATAGTAGTACGAGAAGACCTTGTCCACTACGTCGCTCGAGGCCTGCTTCCCTAAGCTCCTCTGAAACGCCCTGATCAAATTGTCGGGGCCCTTCTCGCCGACGATCGAATCCGTCTCGTCCTCCACTCGCGATAGTCGCAGGGCCAACTTCCTGTGCGCGGTGTTCTTCGGCAGCGCCTGAACTAGTCGCGGACCGAGTAGCTTCCTGTCCTCTTCTTTCGTCGAAAGAGTGAGAAGCTCCACCTCGGCCTGGTGCTCGTCCAAAGTCTCCGCCTTGCCGTCCCACGTAGGAATCCTCTGGAGATCTACGTTCTGGCCCGTGCTCGACGACGCCGTTTATCGTCAGGCTCACTGAAACCAAGCTCCGCACTACCAATATCATGTCGCTCTCGACGGGGTTACTCGCCAGAGTTCTTGAAATAGTCGATGACAAAGAAATCACCTCCAAATAAACGAATGTCGGAAATGAGAGTGACTCTTTTCCTCGTGGCTAGCGCCAGGGCTGGTTCACCAGCCGAATCAAACTACAATTCGATATGGAAACCGCGCACAGAAAGCTCGAACACTAAATAGAAGTACGGAAAACGGGTCTCCGGCAAGCCTTCAAGGCAACTTCCGAAATCTCGTTCCGAAACCCGATTTCTACGACAGCCAGGCCCCCTCGATGGGAGAACCTATGAACGAGACGGTAGGGACGGCGAGGGGAGCAAGATGGAAGGAGAGAGGGAAGGGCGGAGGCACATCAAGCATATACACGAAGGCGCATACACGTCGGTCGGAAAAAGTAGGTAAGAAACATGAAGCAAGAAGGCGGACAACGTAGGTTGGGTTCAGGCCCTCCCAGCGAATAACACAACACAGCAAAAGCATATCGATTCTTGAAGTCGAAAGGCGCTTGAAGTAGATCGGGAACTTGGGATCCAAAAGTACCAGTTCTCAACGACTGGCGCTCATCCAAGGAAACGACGCGCACAACCTCCTTCCTTTGACGGGGGAAAGCGGTGGTAGAGGCGAGGAGGTGAAATTTCTCTCGGGCGCACGCGTTCCAGAAGTGGGGAGGCTGGGGGCCGGACCGCGCACGCGCGCGGAGGACCACCCCACCCTCCACCATCCTAGTGATAGAGGCTCCCAAGATGGGGACAGAGTAGACGGTCCGAGGATCGCACCGCATCGCCGATACATCGGCCGATACTTCGGCACTGCACCTGCGACGTCGGCGATGCATGGGCGACTTCGGCGTGGAGAAAATCGAACCCACATCAAACCTCGTCGCCGATGCATCGGCGATGCGGCGCGATCCATCGACCTCATCTACAGTCGGACCTAGGCCAGAAGAACATCCCGCAAGAACATGAGACCCTCCGTCGGCCAGAACCAACAGAACATCCAAGGGTACCCTCCCCAGGGTGCAAAATAACATCCAACAAACCCGAAGAACACCAGGGCGCCCTCCCCGAGCCGACCTCGATCTTATGCACCTCCCCGCATGCACTCGGACCCCATCTGGACGGCCTAGAGGTGAGGGGTTTGGGATGCGCGAGCGACGGTGAGGAGGGAGGGGGGAAGAGGGGGAAGGGGGGAGGAGACGACGAAGAAACACTCGCCTTGATGAGCGCGGCCGCGACCAGGGAGTGGACGTGGTGCGCCTTCTCTGAGTTCGGCGGCTTGCGGGTGACATCCTGGAGGAGGTCAAGCACGTCGGTCGGCGTCACGTGGATCGGCTGATTGTCTGCGACAGGAGGGGGAAGGGGGCGTGGGGGGGGACGATGGAGACAATGACGACGACGTCGTCGTCATTCAATCTGTTGTGGGGGTCTTGGAATTCGCCTCGCCAAAGGTGGACGCGGCTCGAAAAACGGGGCAAGACTCTCAGTCGTTGTTGATCGTTTCTTGGTGGGCGGGAGATACGAAGTAGAAGGAGGAGGAAGAGGAGGAGAGGGAGCAGGAGGAGGAGAGTAAAGCCAAGAAGCACCAACGATGCTGCAATGCACTCCCGTTACATGCCCCCACCTCAACAGTCCATGGAAGTAAACGGCTCCCCTTGAATGTTGAGCGCCCAGTGGGCCTGTCACTCAGGCTAGATTAGGTTGTGGACAGGCTCCGCCCTCAATCATTCCAGCTAAAAACTCACAGAAGTAGAGTTATACAACTCATGGACAAGTTCAGCGAACACCCAATTATGATAATCCTCCTGATCATCCTCCTCCTCGCCATCATAATTATCATCATCAGCATCATCACCAGCATCACCATCGGCAGCATCACCGTCATCAGCATCACCATCATCATCGTCGTCGTCGTCATCCGCATCATCACTATCATCAATCTCATCATCAGCATCATCATCGTCATCACCACCACCACCACCATCGTCATCACTACCATCGCCATTACCATAAGCATCAGCATCGTCATCATCAACATCATCATCAGCATCATCAGCAGCGTCATCATCCGCATGATGCGCATCATCCTCATCCTCACCATAATCCTTATCATCCTCATCATCATCTCCATCACCATCATCATCTCCATCACCATTACCATCACCATCACCATCACCATCATCATCATCATCACCCCCATCCCCATCCTCATCCTTATCCTCATCCGACTCCCCATCCCCATCCCAATCCCGATCACAATCCACAGTCCCATCATTATCCTCATCATCATCTTCACCTTCATCATCATCATCATCACCACCACCATCATCATTGCCATCAGCATCACCATCATCATCATCATCCTCATCATCATCATAATCATCATCATCGTCATCAACAGCAGGATCATCATCATAGTCATCATCATCAGTATCATCATCATCCGCATCATCATCATCATCATCATCATCATCATCATCATCATCATCATCATCATCATGCCTAGCCTATCCTCATCCTCATCCTCATCGCCTCCTTGTCAGCGTGGTCCTCCTTCTCCTCCCATTCCTCCTTCTACCCCCCTTCCTCCCGCTTGACCCTCGTATTCCTCATTAATCTTACCTCTCTTCTCACTCGTGGCACGTTGCCCTCCTCCTCCTCCTCCTCCTCTTCCTTATCATCGTCATCATCATCATCATCATCATCATCATCATCATCATCATCATCGCCACCACCATCATCATCATCATCATCACCAGCATCAGCATCCTCATCATAACCATCATCATCAACATCATAATCATCATCCCTATCTTCATCCTCATCCTCATCGCCTCCTTGTCCTCCTTCTCCTCCCGTTCCTCCTTCTACCCCCTCGTATTCCTCATCATTATTCCCTCTCTTCTCACTCGTTGCACGTTGCCCTCCTCCTCCTGCTCCTCCTCATCATCATTAGCATCAGCATCACCATCATCATCATCATCAGCAGCAGCAGCATCATCCTCATCATCACCATCATCATAACCATCCTCCTGCTCCCCACCACACCCCTCGTCCTGCCTCATTTGGTCCGCCCCTCTTTTCCCTCGCCTCCACCATCATCATCAGCATCATCATCATCATCATCATCACCAGCATCAGCATCCTCATCATAACCATCATCATCAACATCATAATCATCATCCCTATCCTCATGCTCATCCTCATCGCCTCCTTGTCCTCCTTCTCCTCCCGTTCCTCCTTCTACCCCCTCGTATTCCTCATCATTATTCCCTCTCTTCTCACTCGTTGCACGTTGCCCTCCTCCTCCTGCTCCTCCTCATCATCATCAGCATCAGCATCACCATCAGCATCATCATCATCATCATCATCATCATCATCAGCAGCATCATCCTCATCATCACCATCATCATAACCATCCTCCTGCTCCTCACCACGCCCCTCGTCCTGCCTCACTTGGTGCGCCCCTCTTTTCCTTCGCCCCCGCCCTTCCTCCCTCCCCTCCTCCCATGTCTCTGCTCCTCGGTCTCTTCCTGCCTTCGCCTCCTTCCCCCCCCCGCATCCGCGCCCCGAGTGCCCCCCCCTTGTGAGCTACACCCTGCGAAATGCTTACGAAATCATGGGTTAAGAAATTCATAGTCTCAGAACTTGAGTAAAAACCCAACGTTTCCATAAAAATCTTAAGAATTACATTGAAACGTTAAGAATAATCGAGACTCTGGCCGAAAACTCAAGTTTTCTTAAGCATCGCCTAAGGTGTACAGACTCGCCCTCCCAGCTCCGGGGCCCCGGCGCCCGCCGGAGGTCCCCGCCTGGAAAGGGGCCCAAGGAGACACAGGCCAGCAGGCACAATTTCCAGGACTTCCGATGTGTTCAACATGCTCTGGAATCTCGTCTTCTTTCCCACATCCAAGGTGTTCCTGTATCTTCTTCACGGGGACGGACGTCTAATTGTGTCCGTGTCTATCTCTCGGTCCTGAACCTGGGAGGGCCCAAAGGGGAGCCCAGGCCGCCCAGAAACCTCCAAGGATCCTGGCCGGCGCCGCCGCCGCCGTCGAGTACCGATCCCCCAAACGTTGCATCGCTCGAACGTGTGCATTTTCGCGGCGCGGACCATCGAGGAGCATCCTGGATCATCGGGCGAAACCAAAAAAAGATTGACCCCAAAAAGGACCTCTAACCTGTTGGGAGGGGGCCCAAGTCAGGAGGGCCAGGACCGTCAGGGAGAGGGGGTCTTTTCCGCAGACGCATCGAACCAAAACGCCAAGAGTGATTTAACTTATCCCTGATGCGAAGACGGGGACCTCAGTGATGCTACGTCTTCGTTGTGTTATTAGGATTAGGGGTTCCATCCTCGATGAAAAAACGCACGGGAAACCGACGTCAGGGAGCAAACAATGCCTGCACTTAGAGGCTGATATATCGCTTCTGGGAAACCGGGCCCAGGTGCGGCCCGGCAGCCCCGTCCCCGCCCGTCGTCGACACCCCGTTGCATCCCCCCCGTTGCACTGTAATCGCATTGAGATGCAATCGCATTGCGTTGTATTGCAGTCGGATTGCGTTGACTTTCTTTGCAATCGCATTGCGTTGCAATCGCATTGCATTGCAATCGCATTGCAGTGGACTGCGTAGCATTGGGCTGCGTCGATTGGCATCGTTTTGCATCGTTGTGCATCGCATTGCATCGTGAGCATTGTCATACTTTGCTTTGGATGTATTTGCATTGCTGTTCTAAGCCGCTCGAGTCGAAACAACATCACATGCCCCAGCACCTTACTATGCAAGTCCACTTCAGACTAAACAGACCAATCTTCTTTAACGGGGACAATATATAGCGAAGCTTCCTGGCGACCAGCCAAACTGAACTTCAAGCTCAATCGATGTGATAAGGAAAAATGAAGCGAAGCTTCCTTGTGCTCAGCGGAACTGCGAAGCTTCCTCGAGTCCAGCGGAACTTTAAGCTCAAGCAAGAGAAAGGGATAGAAAATGGAGCGAAGCTTCCTCGCGAAACTTCAAGCTCAAGCAAGAGTAAGATATAGAAAATGGAGCAAAGCTTCCTCGCGAAACTTCAAGCTCTAGTTAATGTGAAGGGGAGCCCCAGGTTCCTGTGGGCATGTAAAAAGTCTGTATCCTGGAAACCACGTAGAGCTACCTCACAGTCACATAATTATCCAGGAGTTGGAGACCACGAGCAAAGCGAAAATGCAGATCACATACGTGCCGTTACGTAAAGACGCAAGACGTATGCATAGAGCACGCAAGAAAAGCGCAAGACTGCACAGTACTTCGGGAACCATCACTGTGGCCTTTGTTCCCAACGAGGTGCGAAGGGGGAGCTGCGCAATTTGAGCGAGAGGGCGGGCATGGAAAGCGGAGAAGAGAAGCGGAGAAGCGAAGAAGACTGAGCAGACCAATCCGATCACCAAAACAGCACTGCAGCAGACACTGCTCTGCTGCGGATGGGCTGCGAGTGGACCGACTCTGTCTTCTCGCGCGCCGCGAACCGCTCGCCCTCCGCGCACCCGCTGCCGACGTGGCCTGGCCCTCGCCTGGGCCGTCTGGAGCCGCGCCCAGTCACGTCCAATCGGGCAGAGGCATAACTTGGCGGCATGCAGCTAGCTGAATTTGGATGCCCGAAATGGGTACGGAACAAAATTGTGAAATGCCCAACAACAAATATTGTCCCAGACCAACAGCGGCCGCTGTTGGGCAGGCGGCCTTCTGTCTCGAATTGGCACAGGCCGCGGCGGCGTGGACAGCGAGTCCTGTTCAAGATGAACAGGAACTGCTGTTGGGCGTTGTTCCCATTCTTTCCTAACCCATCTCGGGCGTCCAGTAATTTGCTGAAGCATGGTTGTCTTCACCCGAGCCGGCTGGACTCAGTGCAACGAAGCACTGCAGAAGGCCCAACTGCTGCTCGATGAAAAAACGTGCCGAGATCTTGTGCGCTACACGCCCCCAGCAGGCTGCCAGGTCGCGGAGGGAAGAGAGAAAGGGGAGTAGGAGGAGGGGGAGGGAAGGGAGGATCCCGAGGAGGGCGTGGGAGAGGGGAGATGCGGAACAACAGTGATTGCGAACACTGCGACGCCAAACAAACAGGCAGCCGCGACATCGAGCTTCTGTGATACAGCAGATCACATATTCCAACTGGCGATCTGCGACGCAGAACGGCAAAACGCTGACAACATGCAAGGACCATTCGGTCGTGACATGATCTCGGCCCTCGGCCTGAATCGGATCCAAAATCACATCGTGTTCATGCTTCATGCGTCTCAGAGCTACTGGTTGGGCGCTCTGCCTCCTCCAAACACTCGAAATACTGGCCGACAGTCTTCATGGCGTGGAACGCGACCTTGCCGGACAGGCACGGGGAGGGCGGCTCCAAGCAATAGCCGTCGGTGAGCATGCCGAAGTCCTCGAAGGCTTCTGCACCCAGCAGGTCGAAACAATCCTTCATGTACAAGTCTTCCCCTTCGGAGGCCCAGTCCAGCTCGTCCTTGCACCTCTTGGCGCCTGCATAGTATAAGTCTAGTGCTCCTCGAGAAATAACCTCGAATGATCCAAAGAAACCAAAACTAACCTTGCAATTCACGATGTACTGGTTGCCGTCGGCGGGGATCGTGGACAGGTGGTCCTGCAACCGAGAAAATACGAAGACGCAATCCGGATCTGCCTTCACGATCCAATCGAACTGTTTGTAGTTGCCGTGCGTGCGGATCAACTCCCAAGCATTCATGAAGATCTCCGTGTTGAGGATGTGCTCCACAGTACCCTCCGGAGCAGTGAGGTTCTTCGCAACGATGATCGGCACGATGCCAGATGCAAGCGGAACCTTCTTGTCGCTGAAGACCATCGTCTCGTCGCAGCTGAAGATCCCGACGCCCATGTCACTGTGCGCCACGAGGAGCTCCTCCTCGTAGCTGGCACTCCGGTACACGCCGTAGCACAGGACGCTGGGCAACGACGTGGCGGCCTTCAATACATTGGTCACCGCTCCAGCGACTGCATCGGTGATAGCACCTGCAGCGCCTGCAGGATCCTTCAATATATCCGTCACCGCTCCAGGGAAATCCTCCCTCGCGAGCACCTGCGCCCCAGAGCCCCCTGGCGCCAGGTCGCACGACGACGCGAGCTGGCACCACCCGGGAGGGTGGTCGTCGCTCGGCTCCCAAATCACGTGCGAGCACGCGACGGAAGTGTTCCAGTCGTTCACACACCTGGCAGGCCACCGATTCTCCGTGCAGTACGCCTTGCACGTGTCAAGATCAATGTGACCCCAGCCGTCGCACCCACGACTCTTGGTGTACGTCTGGAAATCCAAACAAATCTGGCCTTTAGCCAGATCTGCGTACGTCGTCACCATTGCAGATCCATCCCCTCTTGTCGGCGAACTCGCGGAAGACGCGTCCTTGGTGCCCGCAATCGTTGTGGTGACCGCGCTCGTGCCGTCCGTGACCGTTACTGTTGTCGTTGAAGACGCCTCGGGGTCCACGTCCTCCTCCGGGCAGGGCACGCTGGTGTCCCTGCAGCACTCCCGCAGGAGTCCCGGCGTCATCTCCGAGGCGTTGCCCGTGCAGTTGGCCGGCGCCACGGCCAGGCCCGCCGCACTGTGCGGGGTGGTGCTGGTGCGCAGCCCCGTGGAGACCAGGGCGTGTCCGGGCGGCGGCGTCGTCCCCACGGCAGCGGACGCCTCCCCCACTCTGCCCAGCGCGGGGGAGCCGTGGCCGAACGGCCTCGTCCGGGCTGCCGCGATGGCGGCGACCACCGCGATGACCGAAAGCGTGGCGACGCCCGCCACCATGGCGGGGCCCATGCCGCACAGCCCTCTCGCGGGCTTGCCCACGTGCGCGCAGGGATCCCCGCCGGGCAGCTTACCGCCCCTGGCAGACGCCACCGCGTTCAGGCGTTGGCGGACGGCGTTGAGGTCCTGCTGTTGCGGCTGGAGCGGCTGCCCTGGCTCTGGCGGGCCTAGAAGATTGAAGGATCTGATGGTCTGCAGAGCCGGCAGCGTGAAGCTGGGCACCGAGGCGAAAGCGCCTGATGGCCCTGGCGACGCGGAGGCAACTCGCTGGCCCCGCGGACCATCGCTGCGGATCTCCTGGTATCCTTGACGCATGTAAAGGAACAGAAGAAGAGAGCCTGCTTTCTGAGCCTCCGAGGGCTGCAAGTGAACAGACTAGAAAAAAAAAACCTGCCACCCAGACTACCTGGACCAAGCCAAGCAGACTAGACAGGTAGACCAACCAGACCAGCCAGACCTACCAGGGCAACCAGACCAGCTAGCCGTTCATACCTTCGAAGCCTGGACAAGCTTAAGCAGGTCAAGCTGCATGGACCAAGCAGCCATATCCAGGCCAGACTAAGCAGATCAACCTTACCACCGAGTAGACTAGCCAGACCAGCCAGTCCGACCAGCCAGTCCGACCAGCCAGGCCAGTCAGACCAGCCAGCCAGCTCTAGCCGCGCCACTACAGCGCAAATAAACACCGAGGGAGGGCGCCACGCCCGACGCCATTCGGTGCTCGGGAGCCAAGGGGGGGGTTCGCTCTGCAGGGGGGGGGGGGACGCCATTCCCGACGCCATTCATTGCTCGGGAGCGGGGGGGGGGGTCGCTCTGCAAGGACCGACCAACATCGGGCCGGCCAGTGCCGCCGATCCGGGAGCGCCCCGGATCGGCCGCACTGGCCGGAGGCCACTACACTAAAAACTGACCGCAGAAACAACTGCAGCGCAAAAGAAACGCAACGCACAACAGATGTGTTCATGTCGTCGTCGCCGACATGTACGCTTCAACCCTCGAAGGACCTCCCCAAACTACGCTTGGCTCTCACGCAGAATCATGAGTTCAACCCCCAGCAGCGCAACTACAGCGCAACACAACATGCAATGCAAAAGACATCAATGCACAACAACTGCAATGCAACAAATGTTTTCGCGACGTGGTCGCTGGCGTGTGCGCTTCAACCCTACCTGAACCCCCCTTCACCGCACTTGGCAAGTACGCGGAATTCTAAGCTCTCAAGCAGCACCACTACAGGGCAACAAAAACGGCAATGCAGAGAAAACTGCAATACAAAACATGATGTTATCGTGTCGTCTTCGCCGACATGTGCGCTTCACCCTTTCAGGAACCTCCCCACACCACGCTTGGTTCCAGAGCGGAATCCAAAGCCCAAGCTCGAGCAGCGCCACTACATCACAAAGAAAGTGGCAGTGCACAACGAAAACTGCAACACCCCAAAAAAAGCTGCATCGCAAAGACAACTGCACTGCAACAAACAAAACTGCAATGCAACTACAGTTGGATTTCATTAGAGAGGACACGCGAGAGGACACAAGACCCTTCCGAGGGCCACATTGCCACAGGAATGTAAGAAGACACGTGTCGCGAGGCACAGGGCACAAGGGTACCCTTGAGCTGGCAAGGTCGACCACTAATCCAGGCCGACTGTATGCTTCCATGTGGTGTTCACAAACGTGTGCGCTTCAACCCTCCCTGAACGTCTCCAGCCAACGCTCGGTTCCAACGCGGAATCTTAAGCTCTCCAGAAGAGCCACTGCAGCACAACGAGAGCGCAATACAACAGAAGAAACAAGCAAAGAGCACTGCAAAACAACACAACATGTGTTCGTGTGGTGGTCGGCTACGTGTGCGTTTCAATCCTCCCGCTTGGCTCTCGCGCGGGATCCTTGGCTCAAGCTCGAGCAGCGCCACTACCGCGCAAAAAAATACATTGCAACAACGTCTGCAATGCGCGAACAACTGCAATGAAACAAATGTGTTTCTTGTGGTGGACGCCGACATGTGCGCTTACCCTCCGAGAACCTCCCCAAACAACGCTTGGCTCCCACGCGGAATCCTAAGCTCAAGCTCAAGCAGCGTCACTGCAGCGCAACAAAAACAATCCCATGCATAAAAATCAATGCACAACAACTGCAATGCAACATCAACTAGTTTTGTGACGTCGACTGTGCGCTTCAATCCTCCCTGACATCCCCAAACCACGCTTGGCTCCCACGGGGAATCCTGAGCTCAAGCTCGAGCAGCGTCACTGCAGGGCAAAGCAGTACAATGCAGCAAAAATCTGCAAATGCACAAAAGTCTACCACCCCATCTAAAAAGGCAATGCAACACACATGTGCTCGTGTGGTCGCCCACATGTGCGCTTCAACCCTCGCTGGACCTCCCCAAAGACAACGCTTGGCCCTCACGCGGAGTCCTAAGCTCAAGCTTGAACAATGCCACTATAGCGCAAACAAAAATTCAGCCGTAAAATGCGATGCTGCAGAAAATACATTCGTGTGGTGTTCGCCGACGCGTGCGCACCAGTCCTCCCTGACTCCCCAAACAACGCTTGGCTCTCACGCGGAATCCGAAGGTCAAGCTCCAGCAGCGCCACGACAACGAAATTTACAACGGAGAAGCACTGCAATGCAAACAACACACGATGACATGCAAACATACACTGCTTTTGTCGCCGACGTGCGTTTCAATCCTCCCTGAACCTCCACAACTACGCTTGGCTCTCACACGGAATCTTAAGCTCAAGCACGAGAAGCGCCACTACCGCGCAAAAAAAACATACAGTGACACAACACTCTGCAATGCACAAACATTCCAATGCATCAAAATGTGTTCTTCTCGTGGTGGTCGCCAGCGTGTGCGCTTCAACCCTCCTCCCAGGACCTCCCCAAACGACGCTTGGCTCTCACGCGGGATCCTAAGATCAAGCAAGAGCAGCGCCGCTGCAACGCAAACCAAAAACTGCGTCTTAAAATCCAATGCAACAAAACAACTGTTCGCGTTGTGAACGCCAACGTGTGCGCTTCAACCCTTCCTGAACCTCCCAAAACCACGCTTGGGGCGGAATCCTTACGTAGCTCAAGCTCGAGCGACGCCACTGCATCGCAAAGAAATCTGCAATGCAAAAGCTAAATGCAATGCAAAACACATGTGTTTTCATGTGGTGGTCGCCGGCATGTACGCTCTAACCCTCCCTGACTCTCCCCAAACCACGCTTGGCTCTCACACGGAATCCTGAGTTGAAGCTCGAACATCTAAGGTGAAGCTTAAGTCGCAAGCTCTAAGCTTGCACTTTTAAAGCTTGGCGTCTCGCCATGCGGTACAACGGCTAAGCACTGTATGTATTGTATTGTGTCGCATTGCATCGCTGTCCACTGCTTTGCTTGGCATTGCGTTGCATTGCTTTGCATTGTTTTGCCTTGCGTTGTCTTGATTTGCATTGCACTAATGTGCATTGCCTTGCGCTGTGCTGAATTGCTTTGCATTGCTTTGCATGGCTGTCATGTGCGTTGCGTTGCTGTGCATTGCCGTGCATTGCTTCGCATTGCCCTGCAATCGCATTGCATTGCAATCGCAGTGCTTTGAATTGCATTGCATGTCATTGCTCTGCATTGTTCTGAATTGCTGTGTATCACTTTGCACCACATAGTTTGCACCACGTAAATTGCTCCACATTGAATGCGCCGCCTAGATTGCACCACATGGATTGCCACATCTAGATTGCACCACACATATGTTGCAAGAGCTCAAGTCTTCGGGTCCGCGCTGATAAACGTGTATTGCTGCTCTCCAAACACGGCTCCTGGCGCTCTCGCCTCGACGCCAGTTGCATTTTCTTTGAAAGCGACGCTCCCGCTCGAGCGAGGGTCTGGGTCCAAATCTGAGCCCCTGGAAGACGACAACCCCGGCCGGAGAGGCCCCAACAATCAGGAACGGCACTCTCGCTCGAGACGCTTTCGCAACTCAGTGAAGTGGGTAACGGCCAAGCTTCGACGACACCGGCTCCCGCTCGATGCCTCACAACCAAACCCCAGACGCCCTGGCCAGAGAGGCCACGAAACGCAGAAACAGCGCGCTCGCTC